TCACGGTTGTTTTTGGTCTGGGCAGCAGGTGGCATGAGCGGACTTGTGGGTGCACCCCTGCTGCCAATCCATTCATTATGGGACTCCGTATTTAAGCACTCTTCTGCGGTTCACCTGTTGTCGGAGTATTGTTTATGCCTTGCTGTTTCCATGCTCATAGACCCTTTTGCTGTAGACCTCGTCGTTTTTCGCTTTTGATACTCTCGGTACTATTGATCTTGAAAGTTTGGTTTTTATTTTGTGCTTCGGCTTTTGCTTGCATGTACTTTGTTACATTGATTTTTCGTTTGCATTCTCGGTTCTTGTTTTCACCCCTTGCCTTTTGGGCAAGCGCTTTTTGTTGTTATTGTTGTACTCCCTGGTCCGTTTGGACCAGCGCTTTTTGTTACTTCTTTGTCGGTGCGATTTTTTTGTATTAAAACATTTTTGCTACGGAGACCTTGTTGACGTCTACACCTTTTGGGATCCAAACTTGATTCGGCTTGACCAAAACCTGACAGATGCGTGGTGACACGCAACCAATTGGCATATTGTCCCTTCCCCATTGACCAACAGAAGGCGATTCTGCGCCCCAGCCGCACCCCCTTCCACCACTTTGCGTCTGGTTACGTCACCACGCTGTGATTGCATAGATGATAGTGCGACAGATTTCTTGGTGGTAAACAATCCCACATAGAAGCGAGTGTTCTTTCGTTTATCATGCTTTTTACCGTCCTCAAAATGGTTGAAAAGCAGCGGACGATCAACTCTTTGCTACTACTGAGACAACAGCTCAAGGGGCGATCTCCTAGCTTCGTTGTGGGAGCGTGCTATATACGAGGCTGATGATGCGCGATGTTATGACTCATCACGTACCGCCCGATGTCATCACGTATTTACCGGGAAGTCCCGTGTTAGGCTTTCACACTGTAAGCGGAGGCGATCCGAGGCGATCACAACCTGCATCCGATGGCGTGCTGGTGGACACGGATCGACACTCCTTTCCCACTGCCCAAAAAAGCGTGTTTACCCGTGATTTTGCGGCAGTGGGAAAGGGGCATATGATACAGTATGCAAGATTGTCGACAGACTGCAGATGATATGTACGCCAATCAGCTCACCGGATAAATGCAAGTGTTCTCATTGGTCGATGTCGGGCTGGGAACCAATCATGCGCGTGGGCATGTAAACAGCTTGTGAGTCACGTGAGCTCTTTGTTCGGCGTTCAGGGAAACCTCTTGTCGCATCAACTTGAAACAATGCATCTTTCGGCAATATGGGTTCCAATTTGGCTGTATTTTCAATTTCTATAGATTTTTAAAATTAACATTAAAAACAAAAAGGCGAAACAGTGAAGCTGCAAAATTTGGAGTTGGCGAGGGATCACTGTAATGAACACACAGACACACCTACATACACACACACTCCATA